CAGAGAAAGGAGAAAAATGTGTCTTCTGCATTTGATTTCTGAAGTTTGTTGTGATGGTGTAGTGTGGTGTTCTTGGGGGTGATATCTTGCAGTCATGTTCCACAGAAACAATATCTGTCTTGGAAACTATGAGATGTTCCCACTAGCCATCTTCTAATCCCACAGATCATCCTATCTTCCTCACAGATGACATGCTAAAGTGCCTCTCCATACACAGGGTGGCCCCTTATGAGCAGCCTCAGGCTGTCAAACACAGTCCCTCCAAAACCCTGATATGGAGCAACACCTTTTTCCTGGAATGCAGGAAGGGATGAGATGGGCAGATGGGTAAATGCTGGAGGCAGAAACCTTGTGCTGAGAAGGAAAAGGGCTTCCCAGGAGGAATGAATAGACTAGGCTTGACAACAGCACTAAAGAAATGACCTTGTCACCAGGAGAAGGTGCAAAGAGAACTGCCCTATTGTCTTAGTTAGAGTTTCTAGTGCTGTGAAGAGACACTGTGGCTACAGGAAATCTTATAAAGGAAAACATTTAATTGACTTACAGTTTAGCTCATTACCTTCATGGCAGGAAACATGGCATTATGCAGGTGGACATGGTGCTGGAGAAGGAGCTAAGAGTTCTACATCTTGATCCTCAGCAGGTAGAAGCAGGATGTATACTGGGTGTAATTTGAGCATATATAGGACCTCAAAGCCCACCCCCACAGTGACATCTTTCCTCCAACAAGGCCACACCTACTCCAGCAAGGCCATACTTCCTAATAGTGCCATTCCCTATTGGCCAAGCATTCAAATCCATGTGTGTATGGGGCCATACCTATTCTAAACACAGCAGTGGGAATGATGATGCATTTTTATCCCATCTGGCCCAAGGACCTTATGCCTCCACAGGACATAACCTTCTAGATCTACTTGCCTCTTCCTGTACCCTGGTCACTGGCACTTAAATTTCCAGTTTTACCCCAACCAAGAAAGACTTCTGTGAAACTTCCTGGCAGCCGAATTTAGGAAATTAACAATTATCTTTGTTTGAGTCACCGAATGAGACTACATAGAATACATAACTCTCATGATTCTTCCCTCCTAACATCTTATGGATGTTCCAGTCATTTAGTTAATTACCCTCAAAAATTTTGAAATTTGCATCCCTGCTGACTTGGAGATAGAAGAGTTGACTCTTCTTCTTGCAAGACTTCTCCTAAATAAGACTCTCTGAAAGTCTGCCTGAGTTTTAAAATCTTTGCAACTAGAATGGAAACTTCACAGACCACTGGATACTCTTAAATTAGCCTCAGTATTTAAGTTTAACTAAGTTTTTAATAAATAAGTGAATGCATAACTTTGCAGAATAGCCTTTTGGAAGAAATGTGCAGATTAATGAAGGCCATAATAGGAGACAAGAGGACAGAAATTAAGCTCTCAAACAAGAGGCAACTTGGTCAGGCTGAAGAATAAAGAGATGCTATAGGGAAGAAAGAAGCAAGAGTGGTGTTTGAATATTAATTAGATTTTTGCTTCATTTTCTTTTTGTTTGTAAGGGACTAAATCTAGAGCTATGTCTACTAAGTAAGCATTCTACCACTAAGCTCTAATCCAGTATTGGATTTTGAAAGCCCTAAAATTCTCAGATTACAACTTCGTCATTTTGACAAGTGAGAGCCATTAAAAAAAAAAAAAACTTCAATAGAAATATGCAGTCTTATTTGTGTTTAGGGAAATTCATATTTTATCTAACCGAATACAGAAAAATGCTATTAAGTGGTGATTTTAATATCAGTGGTAAATAAATAAAATTTTTTGAAAACTATTATTCTTTATTACATTTTTATTACTTTATTACATCTTTATTACTATTTCAGTAGTTACAAACTATGTTCTTATAATTCCAGTTCTGGGGAGTCAGAGATAAGAGAATCCTTAGTTCTCATTAGCTATCCAGTCTAACTCACTTGGTGAGCTCCAGCACAAATGAAAAATCTTGTCTCAAGGGAGGTGGATGGATTCCTGAGAACAAAATTCTACATTGTCATTCTAACATCTAGATGCATGTGCACACACAGATCTGTGAGAAGTAGGAAGCATTCCCCAGTTTTCTCAGTGTGGTGATTAGAACAACCAAAGAAAACTCTGTGGGGCATGGAAAGGCAGAATCTGTGAGAGTTTTCTGAGACTTGGGGAGTCTGTTTTCTGACTATATCTGTGAGGAGGTCTCGGGTTTTTCTGGGGGGAATCTGGAATTTGGGATCTCTGTTGACTAGGGGTATCTTTGGAAGAACTCTGGGGTTTGGGAGGTCTTTGTGTTGCCTTGGGTGTTTTGTGAGCAGTATCTGTGGGTCTCTATTTGCTATTTGGGACAGGTCTCTATACAAGTATTTATGGAGGTTTAACTGTGGGGTCTGGGAATGTTGTCTCTGTGAGAAAGGATGTGTCTTTGAAATTGAGGCCTCTGTGTAACTGAGAAGTCTCTGTGAGGCCCCTATGGAGGCCTCTGAAGGGCAGCCTGTGAGATTTCTGTATGAGAGCTCTCACAGGAATCTTCATGGGGCATGTGTAGGTTGACATGAGAACTCAGTTATGTGAGGTTATGGTGGAAAGTCATTATGAGAAGTTTCAGATTATAAAACAATGTGAGGCAGTGAAAGGTGTCCATGTCATTTGAAGTCTCTCTGGGAGGCTTCTGTAGATCTCTTTAATGGCTTTCCTCAATCTTATGAAGGGTGGACAATTAATGTTTCCTGTCTGGTTCAACAGAGTAGTCAATTTATTGCTCTTTTCTTGATAGGAACCATGGGGTCTTGGTCCAGCTCCTCCACACTTCAGAGAACTTACCTTTTGGTGTCCTGAAAGAAGCCAGAAGCAGCCAGACATTGCCTCTTCCTAGGTCAAGGTCCAGCTCTATATTACCCTCTTCTTAGCTTTTTAGGCTGGAGAACATCTATGCTTCAAGTTCCAGACCTTCCTGTCAGTCCTACCTCTGTTCTCAGCTGCTCCCACTCTAGAGGCTAACTTAGTTGTATGTCTTAAAGATAAGGCTAGTGATATTAGCATCCAGATCCCAGGAGCTTTTGGTTACTATCCCTACATGAAGGTGAGTTATCAACCTAATCCCATTTGTGGAGGACAGGACCCATTTCTGTTGTCAATAGGATCGGTCTGGTGCAAGGCCCTCTGGTATGAGGCCTCTAAGCTGTGCATATCCTGTGTGCTGTGTGTAGCACAGCTTGGAACATGTTCTCTGCATAAATGGTTCCTCTTCCTTCTAGGTTTCTCTATGGACAGAGCCCAGTAGGAAGAAATGCTAGAAGCAGAGAATAGAACATAGACCTCTCCTGTATCCTTCCTACACAGGGCAGGGGTTCTTTTTGACAAGCTACTGGCAATGCATGTTCTTTCTGATGGTCTCCTTATCAGTCTCTGAACTAAACAAGGTCAAAGATCTGAGCAAAATTTGCTGTGTGACCACAGACCATTCCCTCCCCACTTGTAAATTTTCATCTCTGGTCTGGTAGTAATTTTTTTTTTTTGTTAGTTTTGGTTTTTGTTTGTTTTGGCTTCTCTAGGTCTGAAACCAAGGATCACAGACTGGATACAAATGGGACCGGATGAACCACTTTGGCCTCTAGCATTATTTATTTATGTATTTATTTATTTATTTTTGGTGTTTCGAGACAGGGTTTCTCTGTGTAGCTTTGTAGACCAGGCTGGCCTCGAACTCACAGAGATTTGTCTGTCTCTGCCTCCCCAGTGCTGGGATCAAAAGTGTGTACCACCAACTCCCCGCACATTCTCCTTCTCTTGGCTTCCAGATGGCTGGGGAACAGCAAGGGCTCCTTGCTCATAGCAAATTTATAGCACCTTCATGGTTCTATCTTTGCCTCCAAGGTTTTTAATTCTTTTTATCCAACCCTCAGTCCCCAACTGTGAATCATATCCCTCTTCATTCACCCAGAATGCTTCCTTGGACTTGAGCTAGCTGTGAGATAGACTAAGGTAAATGAGCCGTATAACTATTCCTCTGGAGTAGATATGACCTTCACTGGCATCCCTGAATGATATCATCACCCTGACCTGGAATATGGTTTCCTCTATTGTTATAGAACTTGGGAAATGCAGAGAAGTGGCTAGCATATGACTGAATTTTTCTTAAGGCTAAACTATCCCTATCTTTACCCAAGAGAAGAGACTTTCCAAAGGCAGGCACTCTCTATTCTCCACCAAGAAAGCTATGGGCAAGCTTTCTGCTGCTTCTGAGCTCAGAATGAAACAGAATGCCCAGCTCCCATCCAAACTCAAGCCTATTTCGTAACAAGAAAAGCTATTTGGCTATGGCCCTGTGTGGAGCCCTTGGGGGAATTTTGAAAGTTACAGTGCCTCTGTCTGCCTAGTCTTTGGAAGCTGCCTGAAGTTTATGGTTAGGTTAAAGCAATGGAAAGGTGGATTTAAGCAGATCATAAGATGGAATGGTCAAAGTTTTCCTTATCCTGTCATCTTTATGTGTGGGCACATGTATGTGCAATTATACGTGTGTGTATGTGTGTGTGTGTGTGTGTGTGTGTGTGAAGGCTAGAGGTCAGTGTTGGCTATCTGCCTAGGTAGCTCTTTAAAAAAAAAAAAAAAAAAAAAAAAAAAGGTCACTTAATGAGCCTGCAGCTCACTCATTTGACTAGTCAGCTAGCTAACAAGCCCTAGGGATCCTTTCATCTTCCTCTCCCCAGAATTGGGAATAAAAATGTTACCACCATGTTTGGCTTTTTGCATGTATGCTAGAGATCCAAACTCAGGTCCTTATGCATCAAGCACTTTACCTCTAGTACCATCTCCCTAGATACGGGGAACAGTGCTTTGATGTTAAGAGTTTTTGTGGAAGTGGACTCACACTATCTCTGTCAATTACCCATCTTAGTTTATCCCTGCTAGAAGCCAATGCCCACATAAAACATGAAACAAACAGAAACCATTACCCTTTTATAAGGGGAAAAACATGTATTTAGGGCTACATTAAATATCTTGAATGTACTAACATGAGAAAATAATTTTTACATGGACTAATTTTTTTCTTTTGATTATGTTTTCCTACTAGAAAAAAACTAGAGAGGAACTTTATAGTTGGCTATAGACATTTCTCCGGAGAGCACAGTGCCTAGGACAGTGGAATTGGTGACTTGAGACACTTGGCACTACTGTTCCATTCTGGGAGGAACTCACTAGGTTTGAAATTGTGTTAGGGGAAAAGAGGCTGGGATTCTGGGGGGTCTGTGGTTCATTGCTAAATCGTACATTTTTCTGAGATGGTTGGTCTCTGATGTGCCTGTGCTGTATAGAACACTTCTTACAGGATGAACTGGCTGGGTGACTAGATGTTCTCTTTTGCTCTGAGTTGGAAGCTGGCATGTGGCCATAGGAAGACTGAGGGGCATGGGGCGGTGGAGTTTCCCTTTGCTGGTTGAACTTTGAAGCATAGAGTTTACGTTGCAGCATCATTTTCTTTTCTAACATCTGTCCAACAGCTGTAATAAGCTCCTGGGCCTCAGCAACATTGCTGTCCACGTGTGGTTTCTTTTTCGCTTGCCTTCTTTGGCTCTGGGCAGTAGCTGCAGTAGGCTTACCTTTCTTGGGAGGAGATTCCTGCCCTTTGATTGTTTTCTTGGGGTGAATCCATCCAAAAAAGCGGCTCACAAGTTTTTGGAAGGTGCTTTCTGGAGGAAGCTGTGTGGGTTTTGGAGGGGGCTGATAGTGTTTACTTCTAAATTTGTCTTCTTTTTCCTTGACTTTGGTGAACTTGGGCCCTTCTTCATGCTTTCCTTTACTCTGATTTTTAGTGTCTTCACCTTGATAAGTAGGGACCAACACCTTGATTTGGCCCTTCTGCGAGAGTTGATGCTTTGGAGTACTAGGGTTCTGCTGCGCCAGGCTATTGCCCCCTCCTACCACCACAATGTCACCTAACACCTGTGAAGCCAAAGTATCTGCAGGAAGAACCATGCTCCTGGAATGCTCTGGAAGGAGCACAGAAGTGGTATAGAATTGTGGCTGGCCCAATGATTCTGTCTTCACATTATTTGGAGATTCACTAACAACTTTTGCCTGGGGGCTGTGTGCCTCTGGAGTTTGGACACTAATCCTTCTAGGCAGTAAAAGGACTTCCTGGGTCTCTCTCTCTTTCTCTAGGACAGTCCCACTCTGAGAGGGTGTATCCATGAAGTTATATTTGAGAGTTTCAGAATGATGCCTGCTCTCTTGCTTGGTTGGCCGGGCCTTTGAAGGCTCATGGTCAACATCAGATGGAAGTACTCCCAGAACTCTTTTGATATCCTTACAAGAAGGAGAGGAGACAAGGAGAAGACTCCCTAATGATGAAGAATCCTCAATCATCACCTCTTTGAAACATGTCTGAGGTGGTTTTTCTAGGACTCTGACTATCTCAACTGATGAACTGGTCTCAGATACAGAGGTACTTGTGGAGGGTGGGACATACACTGCAATGGGCAAGGACTCAACACTTTTCAACTTAAAGAGATTTATGGGCTTGAGAATCTTGAGGGGTAGACCCCACTTGTGCTTCACCCAAAACCTTACAACATGTGCCTCCAGGGCCTGTCGAGTGTCTGAATTGAGAAAGGCAAGCTTCTGCGAAGAGCTCATAGACTTTTCTGAACCCTTTGAGGATGCTAAATTTCTAGTTTCCATATAGATGTCAGGCATGGAAAAACCATTGTTCATAGCAAGCCAGGATCGACGCACACTCAGAGGGATCAGACCTTGATTGATTTGCCCTGACTTGGTGCCCAAATGAGCTTTCAGGGTATTTTCTAGATTCTTGTCTTTGTGTTTTGTTGAGTCATTTCTGGAGTTGCTCTTCAAGCTCTTCACTGAATTTCTTTCTGACTCCAAAACATTTGCCTCTTGTACCTTTGCTGAAGTTTTGTCCAAGTACCTGATTGGATCTTTTGATATCTTTCCTAGAATAGGTCCCAAATTCTTGCCAGATTCCTTTTCTAACTGGAATCTCACCTTTTGACTATCCTTGCTATGTTCACCCATAGACACAAAGGATTGTGAGGGATCATGTTTGTCCCTGGTTTGACAAGTTCCTGTTACTGTGTTCTGAAACTGCATCACCTCCAGAGACTCTTGGATCTTACGAGGAAGATCCCATCGGTGTTGAATGAGCCACTTTTGAATGTGTTGTTCCAGCTTCTCCCGGAGCTCAAAGCTGATTGGAAAATTGTCAGGAAGGATAGAGACTGCCCAGTCTTGGGAAAGGTTGGGGGCCAAGACATCATAGACTTCTTGAGGTCTCTGGTCCATCAAGGGAAAAGCCAAACTACTTTCTAGTTGTTTTGTTAGCAAGGGCCTTTCTATGTATTGTATTTCAGTAGGGAGACACTGTGGCTTACTTTGTGACTGAGAACAAGATGTTCCATAATCTCTTGTGTAGGGTAGAGAAGGGGGTAATAGGGCTGGGAGAGGGGCTTGAAGATGAAGTTGATTCAGAGCTGGGGTCTGGAATTGGGGTGGAGACAGAATTAAGGGCGAAGATCGGAGGTCCAGATAGGACAGAGGATGTGTGTGGGACAGCACTGGAGACATTTTATCTTGCATTTGAATTGGATAAACACTTGAGATGACATTGAATAAGAAAAAGGGAGAAGGAAGAGAAGAAGTCTGAGGGATCCAGGCAGCAGCCACTAGAGATTCACTGTGCAGAGAAGGGAGACCCCAGAAAAGCTGTTTGTATTTCTGTTGAAAATGGTCCCCGAAGATCTTGGGATATGGTAGTTCCTGAGTGGCCATCAACTGTTCTGATTTTTCTTCCAGGTTCCAGAAGGGTGGCAGGGTAGTGCTGTCTTGCTTAGTACTTGGTGACTTAGACATGTTCCCTAAAGAATTCAAATGGTGTCCTGGGCTAATATCTTCTAAAAATAATCCATCTTTTCCTTTTTCTTTCAGCTTTTTCAGGTCGTCTCCCCAAGCTGGAAATTAGGAGAGTGGGTTATGACAGTGGAAAGTGAGATGTAGGGCTTTTATAGTAAACTAAATTTGTGGGTGACCCATTAGAAAGGATTGAGATTAGACTCTAGAGCCTGTTCTTTAGCATTCAAGATCATGTGATTCATGGTCAGTAGTGTTCACAAGGTAGAGGTATGGATAGCACTTAATCATTTATAAGTCGCTCCCATAGCGCCATCCTCTGTGATCCTTCTAACTGGCCTATGGGAGAAAGGATAGAGTTGCCTCAAAAAAGAATCAGCTTTACTCAAGGTCCTACCTCCAAATCCTGGTAACATTGTTCCTAATAGTCCAGAGACCTCCTTGTTAGGAACACCTGTCAGTTCATTCATCATAGCTTTCTTCTAAGACAGGAACCTGAATATGGTATTCTTAGTTCCTTCCCAAGAACCTCCCCCCTTAAGCCTTTGCAACTCACTTGGGAAAAATGGTGTTAGTTCCTCATAGGCAAGTGAATGGCAGAGACTGACTTACCTTTGGGACTTTTCCTATGATGAGTCCTAAACTTTTTCCTGCACCAGCTCTGCCAGGTCATCAGCTGAGGCTGAGAAGTGAGGAAGAGAGATAGAGAGATGGAGATAGAGAGAGAGAGGTCTTAATTCTTTAGAGAAGCTGCAGATATTCATGCATTTTAAAATTTGATATGGGATTAATATTATTTTGTGTGTATTTGATGTGATGTGTGGTTTTTTCGTGTGTGTGTGTGTGTGTGTGTGTGTGTGTGTGTGTGTGTGTGTGTGTTGTGTGCCTGGTGACTAACAGAGATGAGAATAGTGTATTGGATCTCCTATAACTAGAGTATAGGTAGTTGTGGGCTATGTGACCTGAGAAGCAAATTTGGTTCCTCTGGAAGAACAGCAAGTGCTCTTAAATGCTAAGACATCTCCCCAGCCCTGGCTGGCCTAGAATTAACTATATAAACCAGGTTAGCCTTAAACTCACAGAAATCTACTTACCTCTGCCTTCCATGTTCTGGGTTTAAAGAAGTGTGTCACCAAGCTTGGCTAGTGCTTCTGTTTTTTGTTGTTTGAATTTCACATTTTTAAAGTGAATGAAAACATCTCTCTCTCTCTCTCTCTCTCTCTCTCCCCTCTCTCCAGTGTGTATGTAAATACATATGAATAACGGAGACCAGAAATCCATGTCAGTATTCTCCTATCACTTTAATTTTTAAAGACAGAGTCTCTTTCTAACCTTGGAACTTACTGATACAGTTAGACTGGGCTGTCCAGCAAGCTTCAGCTTCCCCAGCACCAAGGCTACAGGAGCATATCGCTATGCCCAGCTTCCTAATTGGAAGCTGAGTATCTGAACCCAGGTCTTCATGATTGCAAAACAAGCCCTTTACTTACTGAGCACTTTTGCCCAACAAGTTTTCATTCTTTAGGAAATGTAAAAAAGGAGCTTTGGAGATGGCCTCATGGGTAAAAACATTGCTGAGTGAGGACCATCACTCATTAAAAAAAAAAAAAAAAAAAAAATCACATAGTTGTGCACATACCTGTAACCCCAGTGCTATGGGAGGCAAAGACAGGAAAGGATCTGAACTTGGGGCTAGGTTTGGAGACACCAAATACCAGAGATCTTCTTCTCTACCTCCCATAGCACTGGGCTGTTGCATGGTCTCTGTCTAATGAAATTAAGGAGAGGGTTATAGAGCAGAAAAATACCTGATATTTGTTGGTCTCCTTGTAGATGCACAGGAGTAAAGAATATGAGACTAACCATGATGTCTACTATCAGTGTTCTGCTCAAGAGTCAAATCTCTATAGATACTTCATAGTTTTCAAGTAGATTTCTGCTTCTTGAAGCCAGATGTCACTATGGCCTCTGATCTAATATCTTTTGAGGTTCAGCACAGCCCTCAGATAACCCATCAGAGAGAAAAGTATTGCATAGGAGAAGGGAACATGTGAACCAGTGCTCAATGCTTGCCCAATGTCTGATATAGAGGTCCCCAACTATATCAAAAATGCAGATCCTATCAACGAAACCATGGCATTCAAGCTTACCCTGGCACACCAGCACCTTCAGATAGATGCGTTGGTGACTACTCTCAACCCTGCCCCACCAGCTCGCAGGAGAATAAATATCTGTTCTTTTTGGAGATGGCTCCCCAGCCATCTTTCTACTTGATTTGGAGAAGTAGAAATTTATAATGAAATGTGTTGTTGAGGCAGAGGAAATGGGCAAAAGGACCCATGTGACTTGTAAGACAAAAAGAGTTGTGGGGAGTGGAGGACCACAAGGTAAGGAGGAAGATGAGGGAGGAGAGGGGGTGGAAGACAGCAATCAATGAAAACAAAATTTGTTTGAAAATTCCATTATTAGACCCAATATTTTGTATGCTAATTTAAAAATTAAGAGAGAGATACAGAGAGGGGAAGGATAGGAGGAAGGAAGGAAGAGAAAGGGGAGAGAGGGAGACAGGGAGGGAAGGAGAGAGAATAGAGAAGAGAGAGAGAGGAGAGAGAAGACAGAGGGAGGGAGAGAGAGAGAGAAAACATTCTCTATTACATGATTACACTGATAATTTCTTACACTCCTGGTGAACTTCATATTTGGTAGAGGTGAAGATAGATGACTCTCAAGGAAGGGAAGTAGCAGGAGGTAGAGCCCCAGTCCACACACAAAGGCAAGGATTATGTCCATGGCCCACATAGGGGAGCTGAGACTCAGCCATGTGGTGTATATGCTTTCCAGAAGAGAAGGAAGATTCTCCATCTGAATCAAACTGGTGGGAGTTCTCCCTGGGAGATGAAGGATAACTCAGGCTCATGTCACAGATCTGGGAACTTTCCATCACAAAACCAGGACTCCACATCACAAAGGGCTTCTGAGAGTGGGGGAGGGGCAACTCATACAGACAAATTCTTCCTCCTCAGCCTTCTGGGTACTTCCTTTCAACCCCAACTCTCTTTTTTTTTTCTTTCCTTATGTTCTATTAATCGCTCCCTCCCCCAAGGAATTCATATATTATCTGGTTCTTTTTCTCATTTGTAGATCTTAGCTTGAGGTTTTTTAAAACCAGTTTTTTTGTTTGTTTGTTTGTTTGATATTTTATTTTACTTTTTGCTTTTCAAGACAGGGTTTCACTGCATAACAGCCTTTGACTTCCTGGAACTAGCTCTGTAGACCAGGCTGGCCTCAAAATCACAGGGATCCGATTATCTCAACCTCCCTAGTGCTGGGATTAAAGGCGTGTGCCACCACCATCATACTTAAGACTAGTCTTAAAGTCCTTTAAAAATCCTAGATTTGGGGATGGAGAGATAGCTCAAGTGACTAGGAGCACTTGTTTAAGTGCTTAAGATTTGAGTTCAGATACTAGTAGCTGCATAACAAGATAGCCATCTCTGCCAGTTCTCATAATCCCAGCTCAAAGGGGAGTGTACAAAGGAAGATCCCTCTGTCTGGGGCCTGCTGGACTTCAACCTAGCTAGAAAACATAAGCCCTCTAATGCATGCACACATACAATCATAGATACACACACGCACACGCACACACACACACACACACACATTTTTGCTTGTTTGCTTATTTTTAATTGAATTGCTTAATGCTTAAGATCAATTGCTGCTTTTGCACAGGAACCAAGCTTGGTTTCTAGAACCCCCATAGCTGCACCCAACTGGGGAGGACAGGAGGGTGCAGGAACTGGGATTGACATGTAAAACAAGCTTGTTTCAAATTTAAATAAAAATATTATCATAAAAATATAAAGACATAAACCTTGTAACTTGAAGAAGGGGTACGATCTGAAGGAAGATTTGAGGAGGGTGGGGGAGGGCAGTGGAGATGAATAGCCACAAAGCATAGAGTTGTGTATCACACTGAAGTAATTTCTTTGTGTGCCCATCAAAAATTAATCTTAAAAATGAAATTAAACTTATTAAAAATTGAAAAAGTAGACATTAATCATGTTCTTTAGAAACAAATTTACACGTTTTCACTGCCTAGAAATTTCCATAAGAGCAACTTATTCACAAGGCACTTAAAAATTACAGCATTAACAGATTAAACAATAAAACAACACATGTAAAAATACAGAATTATAGGAAGTGAACAGTTTTTATTTTTCTATCTCTACATTGCTTTTTATCTCATCACTTTTCTTTACTCGGTCACCAACAGAATTTTCTTTCTGGTCTGCAAATGTAGCGCATATCCAGGAGAGTAGCGGCACAATGAAGAAACCCATGCTGACCCTGGCAGATCTACCCACTGCCTCAGTTCTTACATCCACCCTAACATAGATTACCTGAAGAGTTTTCATCACAGCCTCTCATTTCATCCATCAGTACATTCGTTATCTGTAGGTGATAACTGCTTCCTTTTTAAATCAACACACCTTGAAAAGCTAACCAGAACTACCACTTTTGACCAAAATCTAGTTAGTGTTCAGTTTTTCCCTGGTTGTTTTACATAAATTTTCTCACTATAACAACAATAACAACAAAGAAAACAAACAAAACAAAAAAACCACACAAAACAAGATCTGGTAGGATTAAAAAGCTACAGTTGTCTCTAGTGCATATTTCTTCTTCTATCTTTTCCCTTTCTACACAGTTAATTTTTGAAGACACGGTGTAGTTGTGGATCCATGGCTGTGTTTAACACTCTGCTCTGTGTGTAGCAGCTGCTGTGAACCTGCAAGTCATGCTCTTTCTGCTGCTGGTTCCAGCACTAAGGAAACAGGCAAAAATCCTCTGCTGCAATTGGTGACTCTCATACTGTACCGACTTGTTTGACTGAACTCCAGAGGGCAGTACTGAGGGCACAGTAAGAAACTATTGTTAAGCACACATAAGCTTCCTGCCTTCCAAGTCAGGGATCAGGGTTCCAGGAGAACCTTTGCAAAACTATACCTGAAGGTCTTCAGGCTGTTTTTGCTGGGCAGACCTAGAAGGGAGAGACTTTAGGAAATGAGAAAGGAGCTAGATTATGCAGGATGGCGCAGGCCGTTATGAAGACCATGGATAAGGAAGAGACTGGGAGCTTTGCATGGGGGAGTGACAATCTGCTTTTTAAAGGATCAGTGTGGTTGCTGACTTATAAATAGGCAGCAGCTGGGAGACCAATAAGGCTGGAACTGTAATTTTCTGGGCTGGCTGATATGATCTGTTTTGGGAAGATGTTTAGTTCCGCCTTTTATTTCAGGGAAATTTATCAACAATTGTTTTGCAGACTTTTAATGAGTCTTTCAGTCTTCTCAGAAAATTAGATATATCCAAAATAATCATTACATAGTAGTAGAAGGAACATGACAAGTCCAAGAACAAGTCCAGAGAAGACAAACGAGGGCTAGAAAAGTTACAGACTTTCTTTTTGATTTTCTTTCTATTTTTGTTTGTTTGCTTGCTGGCTTATTTTGTTTTGGATTGGTCTGATTTTTTTTTTTAATTTCGTTTGTGGGGGTACTGCAGGGGTGAGGGGAGGATATAGAGGGACCAGGAGCTGAGTAAAATTGGAGTGCATGGTGTGAAATTACAAAAGATTCAATAAAGAAATTATGTTAAATAAAACAAAACAAAAGAACGGGATATATTTCTCCTTGGGACTGTTACAAATGGGAATAAATTTTACAATTATATTTAATTTTTTTAATTCTTAAAATTATTCAAAGATAAAATACGTTTTTTTCACCAATAAAAAACAACATATCTGTTTTAACTCAGATTTCTGTTACCTTAATAAGTACGTTAACAAATATTTGTTACTTTTATAAATACAGAATAGTAGATATTTATTCCAGTGGGGGTGGCAATGAATTGAGAAAGAGAAGATGTAATTAATGGAAGAGAAAGAACAAGGCCAAAGGTTGTGTGAGGGTTTTAAAAACAGAAGAAACTGAGATGATGAGCCAGCAGCCTTCACAGACTGGAGGAAAAAGAAGTTTGCAGTGAATACTGATGCCACTGTTATCCAGTGGGAAATGCTTATATTGTTCTTTGTATGTGTCTGTATGTGCTCACATGTGTGCGTCTTCCTCAATTGCTCTTTACTTTATCTTTCTGAGTGTCTTTCAGTCAACCTGGAGATGACTAATGCAGCCAATGGCTGGCCAGCAAGCCCAGGGATGTTCCTGTTTTTGAGTCCTTGGCACTTTGAAAACAAGCACAAGCAGCCTTGCCTGGCTTTTTACATAGGTACCAAGGATGGTTTCCAGTCATCCTGCTACCACAGCAAACCCTTAACCAACGGAGCCATCTCTCCAACCCCTGTTTACGTAGATTCCAAGCACTTTAAATCCAACATCTGTTCTTACAGTATGTATTTCAGAATACTCTATGGATATATATTAAGTATTCTAATTTAAAATTTGTATTTAATTTGTAGTACCTCTTTTTAGTACAGTTTTCTAAAGGAACCTCAGTTACTTATGACAATTATAGTATGTTAACCAAAAATTTAAGATTTGTCACCTGTATGATCATCAATTTTTCCAAAAAAATTTACTGTCATTACTTTAAATTATTTTTTCATTGCTCTGAGTTCAGTATTTATTTAAGAAACCCCAAGAAAAATTAAATGTAGGAACAGCCTATGACATTCTGAGAAGTCAAGAAGCATATTTCATAATAACATCCATTCTCATGTTCCACATGGGAGAGTAAAACCTGGTTGTAACCAGTACAGTTTTGTCAATCACAAGTTCCTATGTCCATTTTTCACTCTCTCTGAAAAAGAATTTGAGCTTCACATTTTGTAAAGACCTTCACTACTTGAAGTGATAAGTGTTTACATCATACAAAATTTTGCTTTAAAAGAAATTAAATTTCCAGGGATATTAATCCATTCTTGGAGCATGGTAAGGTCGTTTTACATCTTTTACTCTTCTATTTTTTTAAATTATTTTTCTTATTTTATATATCGATCCCAGTTCCTTCTCCCTCCCTCACTCTATTCCACCCTCCCATGACCCCCAACATCCTCCCATTCCATTCCTCCACTCCACTCCACTTGTAGGGTGATGCCTTCCAGGAGGGGTCATCTAAATCTGTCAAGTCATTTGGGGTAGGGACTAGGCCCTCCCTTCTGCCTCTAGGTTAAGGATCTCTCCATAGGAAATGTGCTCCTAAAGTCCTTTTGTACACCAGAGTTCCCTTAGACTGCCCAGGCCTTCTAACTGAGACTCATGTCCAGGGGGTCTGAGCCGGTATAGAAGAGTTAAGACCCTTAATGTTGAGGGAAAGTAAGGACCATTGATTGTTAATTCTTGTTTGTTTTAGTTTTGTTGTTGGTGGTGGTATTGTGAATATATTTGCCCTGCTTTACCCTTGGGTTCTGGTGAAGTGGGATTATCTATTCCCTATGTTTTTGTGAGTGTAGTTAACTTCTTTGGGTTGGCGTTTTCCTTCCAGAACTTTCTGTAGGGCTGGATTTGTAGATACATATTGTGAAAATCTGGCTTTGTCAATAAATATCTTGTTTTCTCTGTCTATAGTGATTGAGAGTTTTGCTGTGTATAGTATCCTGGGCTGGCATCTGTGGACTATTAGTACTTGTAGACCATCTATCCAAGACCTTCTGGCCTTGAGTGTTTCCATGGAGAAGTCAGGTGTAATTTTGATATGTCTGCCTTTATATATTACCGGGTCTTTTTCCTTCGCTGCTCTTAATATTCTTTCTTTATTCCATATGTTAGGTGTTTTGATTATTATGTGTTGAGGGGTCTTTTTCATTTGATCCAGTCTATTTGGTGTTCAGTATGCTTATTGTACTTTC